ATACATATACCAATATATATAGTTTATCTTGAAGGAGAGGTAAAGTATAAAATATTTTTACAGTTTTTAATTCTCTTTTTTGTATTAATACAATTTATTTATTCAATAGGTTTTTGGTGCAATTTCACGAGTGGCATCTGATAAATTTATTAATTTTATTGAACTTGTAAACCCTATTTTAGAGAACATTCAATTTGAACCTTTATTAAAACCCTCAAAAAAAACCCACTTTGATCTTTTACTATACGATTTACCAACCAAATTAAAAGAATGCGTTAATCAATACTCAGATTGGGAAATAAAAAGATCAATGTTTACTGATGAAGAAAAGAATAATTATTTTATGAAACTAGCCAAAAAACATTTAAACAATTTAATCCAATTAAAATCAATTAAAGACTATAAATTCATATGTATGTATTTATAAAACTATTTATAATACTTGATAAGTTAAAACAATACTAACTTCTATTTTTGATTTATAGATGGTTTAGAAACGATTATTATTGGTGAAGAAATATTTTATTTTTTCGACGTAATTATTTATATATATAAATTTAATTTTTAATTTTTTTTCTTTTTTAATAATTATTTTAATTTTTTTTACCCCCAGTATTTTGGAGGAAGTCCATTTAGTATAGTTGGTTCAATTTATGATATTGCTCTTTACTTTTTTGGTCAAGAAGATAGCTGTCAACAACTCTTAAATTTAAATTTCTTTAAATATTTAAATATTTTATTTTGTTATAGTGTTATGGTTGACCAAGGTCATTCAAAAATCGAATATTCCCCATCAGATGGTTTATATTATTTAAACAAGTTATCAATCAACAGCAATGATAATAATAATAATGATAATCTCACCAACTACTCAAAAATAACGATTGGTTCTATTAAATATAATATTTTAGAAATATTAAATTTAAACCATCACAAAGATAATGATATATATTTTGATTATAAAACAATGATTTTATTATTAGAAACTACCGATACAAATGAAGTAAGTATTCAAACCAATATATAATATAATTATTCAATTATTTAATTTATTAATAAGATTTCTTTTTATATATAGAAAATTTATTGTATTCGAAAACAAAAGAAGGAACATTTAACTGAAGATATAATAGATGAAGTTAAATTTGAAGAAATTGATAATAATAAGTTTAAAGAATTTAATGATCAAATCATTGTTCCATGCTATATTGTTCAAGATATTAATACATCATATTATTTCTTTAAATCTGAATTAAAAATCAAATCAATCGAGGACATAATTGAAAAAGAGTAATTATTCATGTATAACTACACATACACAAATAAATTCATATTAATTATTATTAAATTTTTATTAACAGTTACAATGATATCAGCATAATAAGATCATTATTATATTATTTCGAATATTTTGTATCAAACCCATCAAACTCAAATCAAGTGATTCTAATTAAATCAAAATCAGTTTTAGATCAACAAACAGAAGATTTTTTAATTATTTTAGATATTTCATATTTTATCAGAAGAGTCTATGGTTTTTATATTGAAAGTATATATCCCAATTGGGAGAAATATATTAGCACAGTTTATTCAGGTAAATCACTTTATTCAAACTATTTCATAATCAATAAAAATAAAATATTAAATGATATAACCAGTTTAGAAATTATTCAAAGAAATAACGACAAAATAGATGTTATTATTGGTTATGACATAATATTTAATATTATAGAAATTAAAAAAATTAAAGAAAATGTTCATTTAGTCAAAATAAATGATAAGGTAAATATTTTATATTTATTAAGTTTAAAATTGAAAATTTATTAACTTTTCATTATAAACTTAGTTTTATATTCGAAAAATTACAGGTTCAATTAGAGAAACCAAAGAAATTTATGAAATAAGTGGAAATTTTGAAGTAAGTAATTGGATCCAATTATTTGGAAAACTTTATACAACTAAAATTTTTAATCTTAAAGAAAAAACGAAAATGATAAAACATATGAACTCAAATTTTGAAACGGATATTTTAGAATATAAATTTAATTCAGAGCTTTTAATATTAAACATAATAAAAGGGATTGAAGGAGTTGTTCAAATATACGACTATTATTTAGATGATGATTTAATTTACATTTTAATAGAATACTGCGAAAATACAACCAATCTCTCTGAATTTGAAATAAAATATCCATCACAAATTATTCAAATATTAAAACAAATGGTTAATATTTTAGAAAAATTAGAAGAACATGATGTTTATCATCGTGATATTAAAAACGGTAAGATAAGAATAATATGAAAAAGATTATATTTTTTTTACTAATATAAATTTATTATCACAGAAAATATTTTAATTCAAGAGAATAATGGTGAAATACAATGTATTTTATCAGACTTTGGTACTTCAGGAATTGGTTCAGAGTTAAAGAAAGATGAAGAGAAATATTACTCAAGAAATGGTAGCAGAAATTACCAACCACATGTAAATATAATATAACTATAAAAAAAAAAAAAAAAAATTCTAATTATATTTTATTTAGGAAATTTATATCAAAAAACTCAGAAGCAAAAACCCAATTGAATCGCTCGAAAATAAACATGATATCTTTAGTTTAGGTTGTGTTATCCAATCCTTATTTGATGAAAATAAATTAATAGCAGGTGAAGAGATTAATACAATTATTAAAAAAATGACCCAATTACAAGTATGTATAAACTATTTCAAAATATAAACTAAATATTTTTATAAACCCACCCATGAACTAACATTTTTCAAAATTCTAAAATAGTATGACAAACGTATAAATTTAAAAGAATTAAAAGAATTAACTGATCGTCTTTAATCATAATAGCAATAAAAAATAAATAAATTTATTATTATAAAAAAAAGGTTTTATTTCAATTTTGTTTTAATTGTTTCGATTATTATTCTACCAATTTATTTTATTTAATTATTTTTTGAGAAATAGTTAAATAGAATTTTTCTAATAAAATATTTTATTTTCTCTTTAGAAATATTTAACCTTTAATATAAATTAAAGAATCTTATCTAATCATGATTTCATGTTCTTTCTACATATGTTCTTTCTGCATCAATTACACAAACACAATTTCATGATTCCTTTTTTTTCATAATATTGCATGTAATTTTTGATCTGTTCATTATTGAAATATGTAATAGAGGGTATAAAAAAAGCATTTTAATATCATTTTTTCAATCACTTGAAAGAAAACCTTAAGTTAAAACCCTTCCCATTTTTTGGACAAAAAATTATTTTTTAAATAAATTAAAAGTTTTTTTAATTTTTTTTTAATTTTTTTTTGTTGTGATTAAAAAAAATAAAAAAAAAACCAAATTTTTTTATTTTACATTGATCCACCCAAATGAAAGAATACAATAACAAATATTTTAAAGTTAGGAAACTATCATCGAATTTAGATAGAGTCATTTATTTATATGAAAATATTCAAGAAAAAAAAGTAATTATTAATTTATAAAAAATAAACAAAAAAAAATACTAATAAATTTTTAGCTATATATTTGTAAAAGAATAAAACTATTTAATTTAGAAACTTTAAATGATTCTGAAATAGGATTAGAAAAGAATTTCACCCAATCAGTAAACCAAGAACTCAAATTTTTAAAACGATATTCAAATAAAGAAAAATACCCACATTTAAATATTATTCAATATATTGAAGATTTTATCACCATAAAACCAAATAAAGACTATTACCATTTAAATATCATCACTGAATTTTATGAAAATGGGGATTTATCAAAGTTAAAAAGGTAATTACAATTTTTCTATATAAATTACTAAAAAAAATATTTTAATAATTTTTTACTAAAATAAATTATTTTAGATTTTCTTTTTATAATTTTTTTTATTTGTTGGTTAAGATTCTAATAATTTTAGACCAGTTTAAAGAAGATAAGGTTGTTCATAGAGATATTAAACCAGAAAATATATTTTTTAGAACACTTAATGGCCCCAATAAAATTACTGGGGAGCCGGAATATGAGTTTTATTTAGGTGATTTAGGATCCTCAAGAATTATTTTAGGTTTAACTCAAGATGGCCGCTATACTCAAGAAGGAACTAATCAATTTATAGCACCTGAGGTAATTGGGGGATTTTATACTCCCAATGTAGATGTTTACAGTTTAGGTGTTACTTTATTAAAACTTTATGAAAATACTAGCTCAGAAATGTGTAATTTAGTTTTTTTAGAAATATTAAAAAGAATGGCCAATGAAGATGAACACCAAAGACCACAACCATCCCAAATATTAGAATTCATTTGCAAACACTATGAATTTTTAAGACTAACATCTGGGGATCTCATTCATAGAAACCTAAAAGAATCATTATATTTTGTTAATCAAAAATACAATTTTTTTGAAAAAAGTACAAGTACAAGTCCAATTGATTTTAATTTAAATAATTTTTTTAATTTTAGTAATCATTCATTAAATTTTTATTATAATAGCAATAATAATAATGGTTTTGATATTACCAAAGATTATAAATGTATTGGTTGCGTTAATATAATAAATAGCCAACAATATTTTATCATAATTGACGGAAAAGTATGCATTAAATTTATATTTTAAAATTAAATTAAATTATTTTAATACTAATATTTAATATTTTAAGTATTTTAGTTTATTTTCAGTTAAAAGCTTTTTATCTGATAAAAATTCAGTTATGAAACAATATTTCGATCTAATGTTTTCTGAAGAAATGTTTTCATTTTATTTTATGGAATGTTCAAAAGTTTTTCCATTGGGTTTAGAATCAAATAATGTTGAACCAGTAGATATCAATGAAGCTGACTATCGAAGGAGTTATTATTTAATAGTTAACCCAACTGAAAACACTTTAAAACAAATCTCATTACAAAATCCAAATGCCATAACAAAGAAAATTCAATTAATATTATTATTTAAATTAATTTTATTATTTTTTCAAATTTTCGAAAAAGGAGATATCAAAATGCTGTATTTATATTTTCATTTTTTAAATGGCTTTCAAGTATTTTTAACAAACAAAAACGAACCATCCAAAGATGAAGAAAATCAAGAACCATTCAATGATGTTAGGTTTTCAATACTCTCTACATTTGCAGATCCAACAGAGAAACTACCTAACTTTATAGATATGGTCTTCAAAGTCTATAATATAGAAACCAAAGACCCAGTCATTGATAAGATTTATGACTATTTTAGTGTAAGTATTGTATTAATATGACTTTTATATTACATAGTATAAATTATAACAAATATTTTTTATTACCACAGACTACCTTCGAAAAAGCTGAAACACCAGTTTATTTTCAATATAAATATATTTATCAAATTTTAGAAAATGAAAAAGAAAGATTAATAAATGAAAACAAATACTTAATGGAATATTACGATAAATTAGATACAAGCTATAACAATATATTGAAGAAAACTTCTATTTCTGAAACTTTTGTTATTAATCCAGTTAAACAATTTCATAAAAAATCAAAAACACATTTACCAATATATATAGTTTATCTTGAAGGAGAGGTAAAGTATAAAATATTTTTACAGTTTTTAATTCTCTTTTTTGTATTAATACAATTTATTTATTCAATAGGTTTTTGGTGCAATTTCACGAGTGGCATCTGATAGATTTATTAATTTTATTGAACTTGTAAACCCTATTTTAGAGAACATTCAATTTGAACCTTTATTAAAACCCTCAAAAAAAACCCACTTTGATCTTTTACTATACGATTTACCAACCAAATTAAAAGAATGCGTTAATCAATACTCAGATTGGGAAATAAAAAGATCAATGTTTACTGATGAAGAAAAGAATAATTATTTTATGAAACTAGCCAAAAAACATTTAAACAATTTAATCCAATTAAAATCAATTAAAGACTATAAATTCATATGTATGTATTATTAAAAATATTTATAATAATTGATAAGTTAAATAAAGCAATACTTACTTCTTTTTTTGATTTATAGATGGTTTAGAAACGATTATTATTGGTGAAGAAATATTTTATTTTTTCGACGTAAATATATATAAATTTAATTTTTAATTTATTTTTCTTTTTTAATAATTATTTTAATTTTTTTTACCCCCAGTATTTAGGAGGAAGTCCATTTAGTATAGTTGGTTCAATTTATGATATTGCTCTTTACTTTTTTGGTCAAGAAGATAGCTGTCAACAACTCTTAAATTTAAATTTCTTTAAATATTTAAATATTTTATTTTGTTATAGTGTTATGGTTGCCAAAGGTCATTCAAAAATCGAATATTCCCCATCAGATGGTTTATATTATTTAAACAAGTTATCAACCAACAACAATGATAATAATAATAATGATAATCTCATCAACTACTCAAAAATAACTATTGGTTCTATTAAATATAATATTTTAGAAATATTAAATTTAAACCATCAGAAAGATAATGATTTATATTATGATTATAAAACAATGATTTTATTATTAGAAACTACCGATACAAATGAAGTAAATATTCAAACCAATATATTATTCAATTATTTAATTTATTAATAAGAATTCTTTTTATATACAGAAAATTTATTGTATTCGAAAACAAAAGAAGGAACATTTAACTGAAAAAACAATAGATGAAGTTAAATTTGAAGAAATTGATAATAATAAGTTTAAAGAATTTAATGATCAAATCATTGTTCCATGCTATATTGTTCAAGATATTAATACATCTTATTATTTCTTTAAATCTGAATTAAAAATCAAATCAATCGAAGACATAATTGAAAAAGAGTAATTATTCATGTATAACTACACATACACAAATAAATTCATATTAATTATTATTAAATTTTTATTAACAGTTACAATGATATCAGCATAATAAGATCATTATTATATTATTTCGAATATTTTGTATCAAACCCATCAAACTCAAATCAAGTGATTCTAATTAAATCAAAATCAGTTTTAGATCAACAAACAGAAGATTTTTTAATTATTTTAGATATTTCATATTTTATCAGAAGAGTCTATGGTTTTTATATTGAAAGTATATATCCCAATTGGGAGAAATATATTAAAACAATTTATTCAGGTAAATCACTTTATTCAAACTATTTCATAATCAATAAAAATAAAATATTAAATGATATAACCAGTTTAGAAATTATTGATAGAAATAACGACAAAATAGATGTTATTATTGGTTATGACATAATATTTAATATTATAGAAATTAAAAAAATTAAAGAAAATGTTCATTTAGTCAAAATAAATGATAAGGTAAATATTTTATATTTATTAAGATTAAAATTGAAAATTTATTAACTTTTCATTATAAACTTAGTTTTATATTCGAAAAATTACAGGTTCAATTAGAGAAACCAAAGAAATGTATTTAACAGGTGGAAATTTTGAAGCAATCCAATTATTTGGAAAACTTTATACAACTAATTTTTTTAATCTTAAAGAAAAAATGAAAATGATAAAACATATGAACTCAAATTTTGAAATGGATATTTTAGAATATAAATTTAATTCAGAGCTTTTAATACTAAACATAATAAAAGAGATGGAAGGAGTTGTTCAAATATACGACTATTATTTAGATGATGATTTAATTTACATTTTAATAGAATACTGCGAAAATACAACCAATCTCTCTGAATTTAAAATAAAAGATCCATCACAAATTACTCAAATAT